TTTGGCGGAGCTCTCTATGGGGCCACGAAGCGTGTGAGGGGTGTCGAGAACCACATACAAAACGCCCTCATGTGGGCTTCGGTGGAGTCCCCTATGGGGCCACGAAGCGTTGTGTGTGTGTGTGTGCGTGCGCGGAGAACCACATGCAAAACCCCTCTCCTATGGGCTTCGGTGGAGCTCCCTATGGGGCCACGAAGCGTGTGAGGGGTGTGGAGAAACGCATGCGAAACCCCCTCTTGGGGGCTTTGGCGGAGCTCCCCACGGGGCCACGAAACGTGTGAGGGGTGTGGAGAACCACAGGAAACACCCTCTCCTGAGGTCTTCGGTGGAGCTCCCTACGGGGCCACGCAACGTGTAAGGTAAATGACGAAGTGCGCGCGCGGAGGGCAGAGGCGGGGATATGGAGGAGGGAGGGGGGAGGACAGGAGAGGAGAGGGGGAGAAGAGGACGCGGAGCGCTGTCTCTTCAAAACGAGGTCCCAACTTCACAGGATGGTTGGGTACAACTTTGGACCATTTTCGGCCTCTGAGGACTTTCGCCAGTCTCCAGGCCGTCAAGAAACGGCCCAGGACGAAACACAGGTCGGACGAAGAACGGGGGCGCTCCTTGTGGCCACTGGTGCCTTCGGTAGGGCTCCATGAGGCTACGAATCGTGTGAGGGATGTGCCTAGATAGGCGCGGTCACGCATGCGGGCCCTGCCACTGGGCCTTGAGTGGAGTTCCCTATGGGGCCGCCAAACGTACGAGGGGTGTGCCGAACCGGGCGCGATCATGCATGCGTGCCCTGCCATTGGGGCCTTGGTTGGAGCCCCCTATGGGGCAACGAATCGTGTGAGGGGTGCGCCGAATTTTGGCGGATGATGGTGATGACAATGATGATGTTGCTGATCCTGATGATGATGGTGATGATGACGATGAGGACATGCGGAGGGCATGTCGCCGCGCCATTTGCTGTACGTCTTGGGGAGGGCGCCGCGGTCACCAGAGCAAACGCCGCCTCAGACGCGGTGGGTTCGCCGTGGGTTTGCCGCGGTGCCGGCTTCGTCTACCTGGGGCGCGGGACGCAGGGCTTGCCGTGGGTTTGCCGTGGTGTCGGATGCGTCCACTTGGGCGCGTCGAGAACAAACGGCGCGGCGACATATGCAGGGATGGGGGAGGAGGTAGGAGGGGGTGGGGAGCATGAGTGAATGAGGAACGCGGGGCGGCGCTGAATCAAGACGAGGACCCAACACCACAGGATGGTTTGGACAAGCCAAGGCATCAGAGGTCTGGGTCGGTCGCTTCTGTCTGCAGTCGCCATCTTCGCCGCTTCGCCGTCGTTGGTCGGTCCGTCGTCAGCCGTCCATTCGTGGATCGTCGCTCGTCGGCTGTCTTCGCCGTCTTCGTCGTCGGCCGTCGTCGTCGTCGTCGTCGTCGTCGTCGTCGTCGTCGTCGTCGTCGTCGTCGTCTCCCCCTCCCATCGCGCTCCCAGGCCCCTCCCCCCTTCCCATCATTTTTCTCCTCGCCTCCCTCCGCCTTCTGTCGGGGGGTGAGAAGCTGTCGAGCGCCGCAGCCGCAGCCGTCGTCGTCCCCTTGACCCTGACTCGGAGGGCGTCAGCTATACACACTTTCGCGCCGGTCTTTGACAGTAGGTATGCTTCGGCTCCCAGATCCCGATCTGCGCCAGGCGCCTTCCCACTTCAGGACCCGATGTGATCTTGCTCTGCCTTCTTATTCGCCTGGAGTGCCCGAACCCAATCTGCTTTACGCGCCTTCCTACTTCATGTCTGGGCCACGTCTGCGCCCGTGGGTGCCCCGGCGCCGCGGCCCGGCAGCTGCCACGGTCCCCGCTGGCGGGGCTGGCCGCGCCAGCACACTCCAGTGGGAACTCTTCCACCTCTGAGTGGCCTTCTCCTGCCCTCCCCCCCTTGCGGCCGCCCGCTTTGTCCCCTCCCCCCTCTTGCCCCCTGCTGGCACAAGTCGCTTCTCGGTGCCCCCGTGCAGCTTCGGCGCTGGTGCAGCCAGCTCTGCCCCGGACCTGGTTCTTCCGACCAGTGTGTACACGGATCCTGGTCCCGGTGGCCAGGCCGATCCCGGGCACAGGATGGCTCCAGCCAGGACTCCGGCCAGGATCGGTGCAGGTGTATAGTCGGCGTCCTCCGACTAACGCTCCTGCCCCCGCCTCCGCCGCCTCTTCCTCCTCCTCCTCATCATCATCATTATCATCATCATCATCACCGCCATCATCATCATCATTATCATCATCATCACCGCCATCATCATCATCATCATCATCATCATCATCATCATCATCATCATCATCATCATCATCATCATCATCATCATCATCATCATCATCATCATAATCATCATCATCATCATCGTCATCATCATCATCATCATCATGATCGTCATGATCGTCATCATCATCATCATCATCATCATCATCATCATCATCATCATCATCATCATCATCATCATCATCCCCCTCATCCTCCTTCTCCTCCTCCTCCTTCTCCTCCTCCTCCTCCTCCTTGGGATTCGGGGATCCGTGGCGCGGGACTTGGGCCGCGTCCCCCCCGGGGAGGAGGACGCCCGTCGGGCTGTCGTCGCCGTCGGTGCGTTCGGAGGCGTCCTCGGACGTCCTCGCCTTTCTCGGGTCCTCCTGGCCCTGGGGTGCCCTCTCGTCGCCACGGCCAGGTTCGCCCGACCAGTCTTGGCCGATCTTCATTATTCTCGTCGGTCGTCCGCCGCCGTTCGTCGTCGTCGTCGTCGTCGTCGTGGTGATCGCCGCCGCCGTTCGTCGTCGTCGTCGTCGTCGCTGTCGGCGTCGAAGTGTTCGTGCGTTTTCGGGTGCTAGATATGCTGTTCTCGAATATCCTGGGTTGCCCTCGTCTCCATTCCGGGATTCGCGCCGAAATCCTGGTCATAACGCGTTCCTCGCTGTCGTCCTTGTCGTTTTGTCGTCATTCCCGTCGTCGGTCGGCCGGTGTCGTCATAGTCGACCTCGTCGCGTCGTCTTTGTCAGAAGGGGAGTGTGGGGATGGGGGGAGGGAAAATGATAAGGGGGGTACAGGAGAGGTGATTGAGGAGGAGGATGAGGAGGAAGGAGGTGATGATGAGGCGGGCGAGGAGGAGGAGGAGGGGGAGGTGGAGGGGGGTGGAGGAGGACGAGGATAAACAAGGGGGGCGATAAAGCAAGGAGGCTGACAACGAATGGTGTGGAGGAGGATCGCGAGGGGGGGGGAGGGGAAGGAGAGCGGGGTAGCAAGGTGGGCGTGGGGAGGGAGTGATAATGAGGAGGAACGTTATAATAACAATCAGACGAGAAGGTAGGTTGAGGGAGGCATGGGAAAGAGGAGGAAAAGGGACGTGCTGTGCTCACCTACTGCCTGCAAGATTGGATGACCTCCATCTGTCTCACAGAGCGCGTTCTGCGGTCGCTGGGGGGGAGGCTTCAGACGTGCCGCCCCTCCGGAAATCGGGGGACCCCCGCTCCCCTCTTCCTGAATGAGAAAGGGGGAAACGGGGGTTCCGCCCTCCCCCATAGCGCTGGCAAGCGACGAGGAGGAGGAGGAGGAGGAGGAGGAGGAGGAGGAGGAGGAGGAGGAGGAGGACGTCGACGAAGACGACGACGACGACCACGACGACGAATGGCCGCCGCGATCACCACGACGACGACGTTGAAAACGACGACGACGACGACGACGACGACGTCGACGAACGGCGGCGGCGATCACCACGACGACGACGACGACGACGACGACGAACGGCGGCCGCGATCACCACGACGACGACGACGACGACGAAGGGCGGCCGCGATCACCACGACGACGACGACCACGACGACGACGAAGAACGGCGGCCGCGATCACCACGACGACGACGAAGACGACGACGATGACGACGAACGGCGGCCGCGACCACCGAGACGCCGACGACGACGACGAACGGCGGCCGCGATCACCACGACGACGACGACCACGACGACGACCACGACGACCACGACGACCACGACGACCACGACGAACGGCGACGGCGATCACCACGACGACGACGGCGCAGCGTCGCGCGCAGGTGGCGGAGCTAGGGGAGCAGGTCGTCATGGCGGGCGGCAACGCCGCGGGCTCGGCCGCCGGCTGTTCCCGCACGCTTGTGCTGTTGGCCGCGGCGGGCGGCTCGTGCTTTTCGCTTGCCGGTCGCCTCTGTCTGTCCGCCGCCGCCTGCCGGAGGCGGGAATCCCTCGAAGGACAAAGTCAGGGGCAACGTCTGAGGGGAACAGGCTCGGGGAGGGAGGTATATGGAGGAGGGGTTTTCGAAGGTGCTCGTCGGTTCTCGGCGGTTTCCCAGCCTCGGGGCGCCCTCCGGCAGCTGCGCCTCGTCGAGAGCGTTCTATAGGGCTGCCAGACCGGACGACGAGGATCACCAGGGGGGGATGGGCTCCGGGAGGGACGCATGGACCCCGAATCGCCCGTGGACTGGCGGCAGTGGCCGCCCGACAGCACACCTCGCCCGGCACAGTGCGGGGGCGCTGCCGAGAGCCTGTCGCCGATCCGTCGACGACGTATCGTTCTGAGAAGCAGAAGCGGCGCCTCCGGCGTCGCCTCAAGCGGTGCCCCCCCCCCCTGGCGGTGCCTCTGGAGCCGCCCCTAGGGGAACAAAAAGTGGCATAAACGTAAAAACTCGGAGGTCCGCGCGGATTTCTCGGATCGGCGCTGGACCCCCCTCCCTGGCGCGCGGAGCGCGCCAGGGGCGGCGCCGGAGGCGCCGCCGGGGGGCCCCAGCGCCGATCCGAGAATTCCGCGCGGACCTCAGAGTTTTTATGTTTATGTCACTTTCTGTTCCCCTAGCTAGCCCCTGGCCGCTCCATGTGCCAGGGAGGGGGGCCCATCGCCGACCTTAGAAATCCGCGCGGACCTCCACAAGTTGATGTCGAGCCGTTTCTGTATGCCGCTGGCCGTTGCCCCTGCGGGGCAACGCTGGGGGGTCGGTCGAGCAGCACTCGCACCATCCCCAGGTTCTGGACTCGTGCCCGCCAGGCCGCCCGTTCCGTTGCCGAGTGGGCCCAGGCGCGGAGCAGGCCGCGACGCGCGACGCGCGGCCTGCCTTCGCGCACCCGCGGGCGACCTGGGCTTCGCGAGGCTCACTGCGGCCCCCGCCCCCGCGCGCGTACCTTGTGCCGGATCCGCTTGTGCGTCGGGCGTGGCGGTGTACAAACTCCGTGTCCCCAGGGGTTGCCTCTCTGGTATGTACAAGCTTCTCTCCACGGTCTTGTGCTTGACCAGCTCATCTGTGGGGCTGGCGCGCAAAGGTCGTGCATGTGGAACCCGTACCTCTGGAGCAGGAGATCGACTACAGAATTGATTCGCCCCAAGATTGAAAGTTTCGTCGAGTCTACAGACAAATACTTGTTTCGAAAGGTTGTCGAATCTACGAACATTCCACGCATCTGTCCTAGATTTGGCGAGGTGTGCACCTCTGGGGCGAATCAATGCTGCCGCCGATCTCCTGCTCGAACCCCCCTCTGCCTGAAGTCTGGGCCTTCGGGTTGGGCTAGGCGTGGCCCGGTAGGCAGCCGCGCTGCCCCTCGCCGGGCCCAGGTCGCCCGCGGGTGCGCCGAAGGCATGCCGCGTGTGCGGCCCGTCGCGGGCCGCGGGCCGCGGGCGTGCGCTCCTCGTCGGGGGGGCGCGGGCGCGCGGGGGCGCGGAGGCGGCCCCGCGGCCCCAGCGTGGGGGCCCTCGGGGGGGCGGCGGCGGGGGGGCGGGCGAGGAGCTCTCGGCGCCGCGGCCTCGCGCGCAGCGTCGAGGCGGTGGGAGGTCGGCGAGAGGAGGCGGGAAGCCGGTCGAGCCCCATACTGTACTCCGTGCTTTCTCGGGGGCCTTCCGGGGGGGGGGGCTCCCAGCCGCCACGGCTGCGCCCGCCCCGAAACACCTCGGCCAGGGTCCCAGGCCCCCTCGAGCCGTGGCAAAAATCACGACTGGTGGAGGTGCCTCGCTATGTTCGGCCTCGGGGGGCGGCCTCCATTGGGGCTCCTCCTCCTCCTCCTCCTCCTTCCAGGAGGATCGCAGGCTCGGGAGAGTGGCCCTGAAGGCTTAGCCGTTCCTTTGGAAATGTAGGATTCGATTTCGGGGAACAAGCAATGACAGTCACATACAAACTCGGAGGAGCACGATTCGCCACCGCGTTTGTGCTGTCCCCCCCCCCCCCGCCCGTCATTGAACACCCGAGGCTCCCCCTCCCCACGCCGCTGGCGGCGCCGTCCCGGCGCCGTCCGTCCCGCCCGTTCGTGTCCAGTGGGTGTCTTATGCCTGCCCCAGGTGGGGGGCCCAGCAGGGCTCCAAGACGGCACCACTTGCGCCCAGCCCCAAGACGGCCCAAGAGGCCCCCAAGACGGCCCACGAGGGCCCCAAGAGGGGGCAAGAAAGGCACCAGACGGGGAACACGAACAGACATATCGAGCCCTCCACCTGAAGACGACCTCCGAGATCCCCAACAGGCCACCAAGAAGCCTGGGCGGGGGATCCCCGCGCTGGGGGTTGGGTCTGGGGACGGGGCGGGAGGTCCCGCGCCGACCGGGGGACTTCGCGCGGACCTTCAGAAGTCTGTGTGTATTCGCGCCGCGGCTGCGACTTCTGCTGTTCAGGGCCGCGCCCGGAGCTCCTTGGTGGACGGGCCGACGTTGAGGAGCGCTCGGCAGACCGCCAGCGGCTGGACCTCCGCATGGCTACCTTCAAGCCTGCCGCAGGGTTGCCCTCGGAGTGCGTTCGGCGTCCGAGCCGCCCCGTCCTGCTGCCAAGCGGACCTGGGATTGAGCCCGTTCGGATGCCAGTCGAGCAGCGCTCGCACCACCCCCAGGTTTTGGACTTGGGCCCGCTAGGCCGCCCATTTGGGGTTCCGAGTGGGATCAGGCGCCGAGCAAGCTCGGGAGGGAACTTTGTAGGGGGGATGAAGAGAGGATGATGAGCAGGAAGAGGAGGAGGGGGATGATGATGATGAGGATGATGAGGATGATGAGGATGGTGAGGATGATGATGATGCTGATGATGCTGATGATGCTGATGATGCTGATGATGCTGATGCTGATGCTGATGATGCTGATGCTGATGCTGATGATGATGCTGATGATGATGATGATGATGATGATGATGATGATGATGATGATGAGGAGGAGGATGATGATGATGATGATGACGAGGAGGAGGAGAAGGAGGCCTCCCTTCTTGCCCTCCTGTTGCCCCCCGTCGTGCCGTCTCGATTGCTGGTCGATCTCTCTCGGGGGTACCCCCCCCCCAATCCTCTGACGGGCGCAAGCGGCCCACGTTTCTACCCCCTCTCCGCCAGCCGAACTTCGGTGGGGAAGAGGGGATCGGGGCTTCGCTCCATTGCAAGATACAGTCCGCAGGACCTCCTTGCGCTGGAGGTCTCGAGGATGATGACTATGATGATGAGACTGCTGATGATGATTCTGATGATGATGGTGGTGATGATGATTATGATGCTGCTGATGCTGATGATGATGCTGATGCTGATGCTGCTGATGATGATGACGAGGAGGAGGAAGAGGAGGAGGAGGAGGAGGAGGAGGTGAGGAGGATATTATGATGATGACGATGCTGCTGCTGATGCTGATGATGCTGATGATGATGATGGTGGTGGTGGTGATGATGATACTGATGGTGACGATGCTGCTGTTGCTGATGATGATGACGCTGATGATGATGAGGATGTGGACTTCCTTGATTATCCGTAAGGGCTTCGCCCCCTGCCGCCGGCCCCCTATCTAAAATCATGCTTTATGCAAGAGCTGTGTGGGAAGGCTTGTGCGCCGCCGTGAAGCAGTGTCGGAACCCCGAGTGATGGCCACTGTCGTACGTTACTGTTTGCACTGCAAGCCTGAAACGGATCGTTCCTTGCAAGGACCTTGCAATCTATACGTTGCTATCCGACAGTGCGTGGTGCTGCGTACAACTGATCAGACCGGTTATCGCGTAATTTCCGAGGGTTTGTGGCTTCGGGGACGCAGATATGGTATAAGTTGCAAAGGTTTATGGCCTCGGGGACGCACATATCGCGTAATTTACTATGGTTTATGGTCTCGGGGACGCGAAAATCATGTAATTTGGAAGGGATTGTGGCCTCGGGGACGCGAATATCGTGTAATCTGCGAGTGTTTATCGCCTCGGGGACGCACACATGGTGTAATTTACAAGGTTTATGGCCACGGGGACGCGAATATTATATCATTTACAGCGGGTTGTGGCCTCGGGGACGCGACCATTGCCTAGTTTACAGGGGTTTGTGGCTTCGGGGGTATAGCTCTTGTCTAATTTACAAAGTTTTCAGGCCTCTGGGACGCCGCAAAGATTGCCTAATTTGTGAAAGTGTTTCGCCTCGGGGACGCAAATATGGTGTAATTAAGTGACGAGGTAGCCGCGGGAACGCGAATATCGTATATTTTACCAAGGATTATGGCTTCGGGATCGCGAATCCCACGTTGGTTTACGTGTCCCACGCCCCCCCCAGGAATTCAGACAATGCGATCTGGGCGTGGTAATTTGGACCTTTTTCGGCCCCCCCTCCCGCACGTTCAGTAACAATTAACAGTGGGACGCGTGCAGGGAGCAGGACACCTCCGTCACCAGCCTGATGGCCCCGCAAGGGGGCTGGCGGATTTTGCGGCGCCGGAAATCTCGAGGATGATGATGACGATGATGATGATGGTGATGATGATGGTGGTGGTGGTGATGATGATGCTGCTGATGATGATGATGGTGGTGATGGTGGTGGTGATGATGATGATGATGCCGATGACGATGACGATGACGATGATGATGCTGATGCTGGTAATGATGCTGGTTCATGCTGTTGATGATGATGATGCTGATGCTGATGATGATAGATTATGATGATGCTGATGTTGATGATGTTGATGTTGATGTTGATGTTGATGTTGATGATGTTGTTGATGATTATGCTGCTGATGCTGATGATGGTGATGACGATTATGATGTTGCTGCTGATGATGATTATGATGCTGCTGCTGATGATGATGATGATGATGATGATGATGACGACGACGATTCTTATGATGATGGTGATGATGATGATGATGATGATGATGATGATGATGATGATGATGATGATGATGATGATGATGATGATGATGATGATGATGATGCTGCTGCTGCTGCTGCTGATGATGATGATGATGATGATGATGATGATGATGATGATGATGATGCTGATGATGATGATGATGATGATGATGATGATGAGGATAAGAATGCGGCGGAGTAGGAGGAGGAGGATTAGGAGGTGGTGCTGAGAGTGGAATCCACCATGAGTGTGAGCCTAGCGAACCAACCTAGCGAAGCAACCGACTACAGATGTGTCCCGCGCCTGCCAGGCTCAGATACGGGTTGTTAGCCCACTGCCCGGGAGCCGATCCTTGCCATGCGACGAAGAAGTTCCCCGAAGAGGTGAGGAGGAGGAGGAGGAGGAGGAGGAGGAAGAGAAAGGGGGTGAGGGGAGGAGCCCCGCCAGCCCGAACGGCGGCGGCAGCGCCGAGGACGGGACCGATCGCGGCGACGTTTGGCGGTGGCTGCGGCAGCCCAGCTACATGGAGATAGCCCTGGAGGAATGGCGGCCGCCGCTCGTTGAGCCGCTCGTCGTCACCGCCGTCGCCGCCGTTCGTCGCCGTCGTGGTCGTGGTCGTCACCGCCGCTGCTGGTCTTCCTCGTCGTGGTCGCGGTCGTCGTCGCCGCGGCCCTTCGTCGCCGTCGCTTTCGTTGTCCGCCGCTTTCGCCTGTTACTCGACGGCGCCGTCGCCGCCGCACGAGTTTTCTGAAAACCTCCGAGACGGAGGTGCGCCATCCATTCTGGAAGCTGTTTCTCATCTTGTATGGCGCTGTTGTTGCCTTGAGCACCTTTCAATCGTCGTGGGGTAGAAGCGGCGGCAATGTGCGGGGTCACGAACGGGCTAGTTACGTGCACACGGGGTCCGACAGCGCATCCGCGACAACGAGTAGTTGCATGGTCGGAGCGAGTGCAGAGTGCGGAGTCGAGCACGGTTAATTCAAAGCACAAGCGAGGTAGCATCGACCTGAACATGTGTATGCGTCACATGCCCCACGCAAAAAAAATAGCCTGACGAAGGACCCAACCATATGCAGTTGTAAATACCGCAATTGAGAATCTCATCTTCGCCCGCGCTTCCTATGAGGCCACGAACCGTGCGAGGGGCGTGCCGACATGCGTGGCGGGGCACGCAACGCGAACGAAAACGATAGGTCTGCGTGAGAGAGACTGAGAGCGGTGAGTCTGAGCGCGAGTGAGTCTGATTGTCAATGCGTCTGCGCGCGCGTGAGTCTGCGTGAAAAAATGTCGACGCCCATGTCGGCACGCCCCTTACGAGGATCGCGCCAGCTTCCTTCCCGTCATGTTTCTCCCTCTTTCCCCGTGCGCGCCAATGTCCAAGGCTGCGGGCGCGGCGCCGCACGGAGTCCCCGCGACGCGCACTGGTCGCCCCGAAGGTGTCCTGGCGACGCGCGCGGGTCGTCCGCTGCACGGAGCAGAGAGAGCTAGCTGGCTGGCCGATAGCTGGCAAGCTTGCGGCCGCTGGGCAAAGCGACGGCGGGGGCAAAGCAGCTGGGTTACACACTGCAGCCACGCATAGAACTAACCCCACATTCAGAACGTCGTCAATGGGGCCTTCGCTGGAGCTATCCATGTCGTCGGAGCCGAACGCGGGAAATGCCGAAGTGGGTGTGGGTGGAGCCGAGGCTTTCGGTGGAGCCACGAACCGTGTGAGTGGTGCGCCAAAATGGGGCGGGGCCGCCATGCGAGCCCTGCCACTGGGGCCATCGGTCGAGCTCCCTATGGGGCCACGAACCGTGTGGGAGGTGCGCCAAAATGCGACGGGGCCGCCATGCGAACCCTGCCAGTGGGACCTTAGTTGGAGCCCCCATATGTGGCCACGAAGCGTGTGAGGGGTGCGCCAGAATGTGGCGGGTATGCCATGCGGGCTGCGCCATTGGGGCATGAGTTGGAGCTCCCTATGGGGTCACGAAGCGTGTGATGGGGTGCGCCAGAATGGGGCGGGGATGCCATGCGGGCTGCGCCACTGGGGCATTAGTTCGAGCTCCCTATGGGGCCACGAAGCGTGCGAGGGGGGGGTGCGCCAGAATGGGGCGGGGATGCCATGCGGGCTGCGCCACTGGGACCTTAGTTGGGGCTCCCTTTGGGGTCATGAAACGTGTTTGGTAGGGTGCGCCAAAATGGGGCGGGGATGCCATGCGGGCTGCGCCACTGGGGCATTGCACGAAACGTGTGAGAGGTGCGCCAAAATGGGGCGGGGATGCCATGCGCGCTGCGCCACTGGGACCTGGGTTGGGGCTCCCTATGGGGGCACGAAGCGTGTAAAGGGTGTGCCGAAACAGAGACATGCGGAGAGCAAAGGCAAGGATGGGGAGGAGGGAGGGGGGGGAGGAGGAGGAAAAGGAGGAGGAGGTGGAAGAGGAGAGGAGGAAGGAAACGCGCGGCACCGTCTCTTCAAAACGAGGACCCAACACCACAGGATGGGTGGGACAAAAGGGCATGACAAGGAAACTGCCGCTTGAGTCGATGAGGTACCTTTGGGGCGAGCCAGAGGCGAGTGACATCCAGCATGGAGTCCATGCTTGTTCTTCCATGGCAGCCTGTCCCCTGGCACACGTTCACGGTGCACACACGATCTGAGCCTGCCTTTGGCCACGCCTGCCCCCCCGTGCCTCGTTTCGCCACGCATGCGTTCCGCCGTTGCCTTGACCGCCGTTGGGGTCCACGTGGCCGCCGACACCAAACTGTCCCCCCCCCATGCGGAAATTCTTGGGGAGGCGTGGCCGTCCGTGGCCTGCTTCTCTGCCTCCTCGTCGCCCTGCCGCTCCTCCCACCCCTCCCTCGTGCAAGCTCAATCCCGCTGCGACCTGTCAGCTTACCTCGGCGTCGTTGTTGTTGCTGTTGTTGTTGTTGCTGTTGAACTTGTTGTGGCTGTTGCTTTTGATGTTGGTGTTGATGTTATTGCTGATGTTGTTGTTCTTGTTATTGTTGTTGCTGCTGCTATTGTTGTGGTCGTGATGGTGGTTGTGGTGGGTTTTGTTGTAGCAGTTGGAAAAATCGTAGTACAACTAGTAGTCGTCGTCGCCGTAGTAGTAGTAGTCGTAGTAGTAGTAGTAGTAGTAGTAGTAGTAGTAGTAGTAGTAGTAGTAGTAGTAGTAGTAGCGGTAGTAGTAGTAGCAGTAGTAGTAGTGGTAGTAGTAGTAGTACTAGTAGTAGTGGTGGTAGTAGTAGTAGTCGTAGTAGTAGTAGTAGTAGTAGTAGCAGTAGTCGTCGTAGTAGTAGCAGCAGTAATAGTAGTAGTAGTAGTAGTAGTAGTAGTAGTAGTAGTAGTAGTAGTAGTAGTAGTAGTAGTAGTGGTAGTAGTAGTAGTAGTAGTAGTAGTAGTAGTAGTAGTAGTAGTAGTAGTAGTAGTAGTAGTAGTAGTAGTAGTAGTAGTAGTAGTAGTAGTAGTAGTAGTAGTAGTAGTAGTAGTAGTAGTAGTAGTAGTAGTAGTAGTAG